CCTTTTAATATCCATGTCTAGAGATGCCCATAGGGCAATAGAAAGGCCAATGGCCATTCCTGTTCACTTAATTTTCCAAAGGTGTAGAACGTAGAGTCGGACATGTACGGAGCAGTAGTTGCACTGGGGACCTTTTGTGCCGAGGAACGGAACCTCAACGTCATCCTCATTCTGCCACTCTCACTCACTCTCACTCACTCTCGGACTCAAGTCGGCCTCAATCCGAATGCAACAAGATCTTCTCCCAATTGAGTAAGACTGGATCCTGCACTAGACCCTGCACTAGACCCTGCACTAGTCCCTGCACAGATGTATTCCCGGCATTTAACCCTGCCGACCTCAGCCAAGAACTGCGTCCGATAATTGCCCGTTGCTCCGCATCACATTACATTCCAGCAATAGACAATGGACCTTTTCCCCTTGCATTGGCTATTCCGTTTGTAACACTCACATCTCTCCAAGACCCCCACGTTTCCCCTCAATTGCCGTGTATCTCCAGGTTTAAAAAGATGCACTGGGCCACTTTCCAATCTGCCCAACTCTTCCTGTTGTGCTTTGTCCAACTTCAACTATGAAAAGGTTGTTCTTCCTGGCCCCCCTCGTGGGCGCTACTGTGCTAGGTTCAAGGTCACAGCTTGATGATTGTCCTGGTTACAAGGCTTCCAATGTGAAACAGCTGGGTCAGACCCTGACAGCCGACTTGAAGTTGGCCGGGGATCCCTGTAATACTTATGGTTCTGATCTGCCGAATCTCAAGCTTCTGGTTGAGGCCCAGACGGGTATGTTTATACTTCCCTGTACAGTAGACCTATACTTATGCGCTTACTAGAGGACCGGCTCCATGTTGTGATTTATGATGCCGATGAGCAGGTCTACCAGGTTCCTGAAATTGTCGTTCCCCGTCCTACTGGGCAGAAAGGCGTTCACCAGAAAAACTCTGCTCTCCGCTTCGACTACAAGGAGAATCCTTTCTCGTTTAGAGTCCTGCGCGGAAAAGAAGTCCTCTTTGACACTACTGGTACGAATATCGTTTTTCAATCTCAGTACTTGAATCTGCGCACTTGGCTCCCGAATGATCCCAACCTCTACGGTCTCGGTGAACATACTGATTCTCTGCGTCTGCCTACGACGAATTACACTCGTACCTTGTGGAATCGTGATGCGTATGGCATTCCATCGGGGACGAACCTCTACGGTGACCATCCGATCTATATTGATCACCGTGGGGAGAAGGGTACTCATGGTGTTTTCTTTTTGAATTCTAATGGCATGGATATCAAGATTGACAAGAGTGATGATGGCAAGCAATATCTGGAGTATAACACTCTCGGTGGTGTCCTTGACTTTTATTTCATGGCTGGTCCGACCCCCAAGGATGTTAGTGTGCAGTATTCCGAGGTTGTTGGACTCCCTGTTATGCAGAGTTACTGGACCTTTGGTGTGAGTTTGCCCTATTTATCTTTAACTTTCCACATTTACACTGGATTTATTTAACATTTTACAGTTCCACAACTGTCGCTATGGCTACCAGGATGTCTTCGACGTCGCCGAGGCTGTCTACAACTATAGTCGTGCTGGTATCCCGCTTGAGACTATGTGGACTGATATCGACTACATGAGTGGCCGGAAAGTGTTCACTCTCGACTCTGAGCGGTTCCCCATTCACAAGATGCGGGAATTGGTTTCGTACCTGCATAAGCATGACCAGAAGTATATCGTCATGGTTGATCCGGCTGTTAGCCACTCTGGTATGACCACAATCAATGATCACATCCACCATACCATGTCTAACAAACCTTTTAGATAACGGTGCTTTCAACCGAGGCTCGGACCAAGGCATCTTCCTCTACCGCGACAGCGACCAAAATGAACTCTACGAAGGTACATCACACAACAAGTCCCTAATAACCCACCAACTAATAAGAAACAGGAGCCGTCTGGCCCGGCGCAACCGTCTACCCGGACTGGTTCAACCCCGACACCCAAAGCTACTGGAACGACGAATTCAACCGCTTCTTCAGCGCAGACGATGGCGTCGACATCGACGGTCTCTGGATCGATATGAACGAAGCCGCCAATTTCTGCCCATACCCGTGCGAAAACCCAGCCCAGTATGCCGAGGATAATGACCTGCCACCCGCGCCACCGCCTGTTCGCTCGCCGCCTCGCCATATTCCCGGCTTCCCCGGTGATTTCCAGCCTCAGACTCAGACCTCGAAGCGGGTTAAGAGGGGTGTGGCTGTGGAGCGGAGTCCTCGTGGTCATCAAGGGAATCATGGTGCCGGGAAGAAGGGTATGAAGATTGGTCTTGATGATCGTGATCTTATTAACCCGCCTTATGCGATTGCGAATGAGGCCGGTGGTATCAGTAATAAGACTATTGATACTGATATTGTTCATGCTGGCGAGGGATATGCTGAGTATGATACTCACAATCTCTATGGAACTAGTATGTTCATCTTATCCAGTACATGTGTATGGCTGTCTAACAAAGCCAGTGATGAGCTCGGCATCCCGTGAAGCAATGCTCAAGCGTCGTCCTAATGTCCGCCCTCTCGTCATTACCCGCAGTACCTTTGCCGGAGCAGGAGCCCACGTCGGTCACTGGTAAGAACATCCACCTCACCCCATCTCACTCTATGTCTATTAACACCCATCTCCTTCCAGGCTCGGCGACAACCTAAGCGAATGGAACAAATACCGCATCTCAATTAGCCAAATGCTAGCCTTCGCCTCAATCTTCCAAATCCCAATGGTAGGCAGCGACGTCTGCGGCTTCGGCAGCAACACAACGGAAGAACTCTGCGCGCGCTGGGCAATGCTAGGCGCCTTCAGCCCCTTCTACCGCAACCACAACGAACTCACCTCCATCCCACAGGAATTCTACCGCTGGGAGAGTGTTACGGAAGCCGCGAAGAAGGTTATCGATATTCGGTACCGCTTGCTTGATTACTTGTATACTTCTTTCCATAAGCAGACCCTGACGGGTGTACCCTTCCTTCAGCCGCTTTTCTACGTCTATCCCGCTGATTCCAATGTTGTGGGCAATGAGTTGCAGTTCTTTTATGGGGAGGCTATTCTTGTTTCGCCTGTTTCTGAGGAGGGCGCGACTTCTGTGCAGGCGTATTTCCCTGATGATCTTTTCTATGATTGGTTTTCTGGGGAAAAGGTTGTTGGGGCTGGTGCTACGCAGACATTGTCTGGTGTTTCCATTACTGATATCCCTCTTCATATTCGTGGTGGGAGTATTCTTCCCCTTAGGGTTGAGAGTGCGATGACGACTACTGAGCTGCGCAAGCGTGGCTTTGAGATTCTTATTGCGCCTGGTGTTGACGGATCTGCTGAGGGTGAATTGTATCTTGATGATGGCGAGTCGATTGAGGTTGAGAGTGCGGCGGAGATTCGGTTTGTGTATCGCGATGGGAAGTTGAAGATCAGTGGTCGCTTTGGGTATCATCCTGAGGTGGCTGTTGAGGCTGTAACTGTGCTTGGACGTGATGCACCGTCTCAGTCTAAGCGGGGTGTTGAGTATGATGCTGCCAGACGGAGTGTCACTAAGAAGGTTGAGATTAAGTTGACTGGTCCGGCGGAGGTGGAAGTCTAAGTAGGAGGTTATTTCCAAGGTTTAGTTCCTGGATATGGAGTAGTTCATAGTATGTTCGTAGGAGCATTCAATTTAATAAGTTATAACGTTAACGTTACTCCGTACTATGTACGCATTGACCTTTCATATATTAAAAAACAGGACCATGCGTTGATAATTGGCCCCACGGCCGTTCCTGCATTTCCCCATACTGTAGCCAAGACTCGAAATGCGGGATCACACTGACGTGTAATTTATCTATACTGTTTCAAGGGAACCTAAGCGCCTTGAACAATATTAATAGGCCCCTTGCATCCTTATTCGGGTTGCGAGACTGTTTGAAAACTCTGCCCAGCTTCCCAGCCACTCTAATAATACCATCCCATCTACTGTATTTAGCGTGGGCGCTATACTAGAAGGTCTCACACAGCCCGCCTTATGGTCACTATGGAGAATGGGTAGCATCGGCGCTAGGCAAGTCCGACTCCGCACCGAGCCACGTTCTCAGCACAGGCCCCGAGTTCCTGAGTCATCTGATCCGACTTCACGATTTCTCTCTTTTGTATATGGGCAATTCTAAGCGAGAGACTAGTGCTCTCGTCGTATTAGGACAAAAATAGATGTGTCTGGTGAGATCCATGGTACTGTAAGTTTCATGGGAATCTCCTTGAATAGGGATTCTATAATGTGTGTACACGATGGCCCCGTGTTTCACATCTATCAAGTTGAGTTATAGAATTAATCTAATTTGTGGAACGAGATTCCCAGGGACAAAGGAAGGTAAGAGGTTAACCTTGGTGCCTGCCCTGGTGTCTTGGCTCGCTTACAGTACCGACCTGTTTCGCTCGGCTCATCGGCCTTACATGTATTGTAATCTCATGTGGATTTATGTATTTTATCTTGATCTGTCATTGCTTGAGATCGGCCGGATCGGCCGATCTTGACCATTATGTCAGTATTGCGTGGCTATTAAATAGGCAAAATAATAAAAATACATACAATATACAGTATAGGTTGCATTGTAGCATACAAGTTGCCTGAAAGAAGCCCTTATAAAAGAGACTGCATCCTGCAATATCTTGGGTACAAGCTTTGATCCACCCCCAGCAGCTCATGGGACGGGCCCTATGGGTCTACTGGGGCCGTGATGTCTCACCCCGGCCTTGCCACCTGTGATAGCCCTCGGGTCCCTGAAGCCAATCCCGCCTCCTCCTTTTTTTAGTTAACTTTTAGCGTCTGATACATACAATAGTACATCTTACAGTAGCTGGAGTAGATAAGTAGCGTAGCCCACAGCAACCGAGCTCTTTCCTCGCACGTCCCAGGGATCCATTCGTTTACCCACTTTTCTCTCTGGACTTTTAATCCCCTTCTCTCCCACTTTCGTTTTCTCTTCTTCATCGCAACTTATCTCACAATGCCTTCCATCATGAAGCTCGTTGCTGCGGCTCTCGCCGTTGCCCCCCTCGCTGCCGCGCAGACCTACTCCAACTGCAACCCTACCAAGAAGACTTGCCCAGCTAACCCCGGTAGCACTGAGTCTGACCTGAAGTTCGACTTCACCCAGCCCAGTGGCTTGGACAAGTGGACCACCACTGCTGGCAAGGTCAACACTGGCAGCAATGGTGCCGAGTTCACTATCAACAAGAAGGGCGATGCCCCCACCATCCAGACCGACTTCTACTTCTTCTACGGTGAGATCACCGTAGAGATGAAGACTGCTCCTGGCCAGGGTATTGTCAGCTCCATTGTTCTGGAGTCCGATGACCTCGATGAGGTTGACTGGGTATGTGACTTTCCAAATAACAATGAGACCACTGCTAACAATATCATCAGGAGGGCATTGGTGGCAACAACGGCCAAATTGAGACCAACTACTTTGGAAAGGGTGACACCACTACTTACGACCGTGACACTTGGCCCGCAGTTGCCACTCCTCAGAATACTTTCCACAAGTACACCGTCAACTGGTCCAAGGAGTCCCTCGTCTGGTCCATCGACGGCAATGTCGTCCGCACTCTCAACTATGCCGATGCTCAAGGCGGCTCTCGCTTCCCTCAGACCCCCATGAACCTTCGCATCGGTATCTGGGCTGGTGGTGACTCTAGCAACGGCCAGGGAACCATCGACTGGGCCGGTGGTGTTACCGACTACTCTGCCGCTCCCTTCAGCATGTACATCAAGAGCGTCGAGATCAAGAACGCCAACCCTGCCGAGTCCTACACCTGGTCTGACATGTCTGGTTCTTCCGACTCTATCAAATTCACCGGCTCCAACGCTGTCAGCGCCCGCAGCACTACCACTACTGCTGCCCCTACCTCTGTCACTGAGGCTTCTCCCGCCCAGACTTCCTCCGCCGAGGCTTCCACCACCGAGGCCTCCTCCACTCCCACCACCCTGGTGACTTCTACCCAGAGTTCCTCTGCCTCCTCCGGTACTGGCTCTTCCACTGCCGCCAGCACTGGTGCCTCTAGCTCCGGCGCCTCTTCCTCCGGTGTTTCTGGGAGCTCCAGCTCCGCCGGTGCCACTCAGACTGGCTCCGGCGCCGGCTCCGGCTCTTCCAGCTCCGGCTCTGGCAGCTCTGGCACCAGCACTCAGACCGGCTCAGGCTCCAGTACCAGTGCCTCGGCCTCTGCCAGCTCCAGCCCCGCCTTCAACGCGGCTTCCAACGTCGCTGCCAGCTACATGGGCCCCGTGTCCATCTTGGCTCTGGTGGCCACCTTCTTCCAGCTGTAAATGTCCTTTTGAGCGCTTGCTTTTTGCCGTGCATGTTTTAATGGAAACTCGCCTCAAAATGAGGAATACACCTGGGCTGGATCCGGATATGGTAATGGTTTGATGGATGGTTTTCTATGATGTACTATTTTTTTCCCCTCTGTCCTTATTTGTACCCAAAGCGTTCTCTCTCTCCAGTGCTTTTCTTTTAGTGCTGGTGAGATTCTGACGTTTGTTTGGGCGGACATTTCATGTATCTAGCGCAATATCACTATCAACATGCAATAATTCATGTCTTTGATTACGATCATTTCTCCTATTCTCCCACTCTAGATACTACATTGCATTGCATCACAGCTTGGTTCTAGACTTACACACCGCTCCTTATCCGTGTTTGCAGCAGAGCTCTTGTAGTGTATGTACATATGCATACCTTGATTGCCTCCACATTCCACATTCCAACCTAAATCAGACCTACGCATCTACATCTACATCTACATACAGCTACACCTACCTGGAACCCAAACCCGCATAAATCAATCATATGCAAATGCAAACCCTAAACGAATACCTCACCGTAAATCAACCCATTCCACCGGCCGAACCGGACTTGAATACCGAACTTCCAAATCCAGTTCAGAGCCTGCAAACTCTGGAACGGCTGCCTTGGCCAGGCCTGGATTGGCTGTGGATCCTTCTTGCTGTAAATGTTTGGTAAAGTGTATTGAGATTGGTTGGGATACAACCTATTGTATGGATGAACCGTGGTTGGCAAGGTCTGGGTTTGCTCCCGTTTGGTTTGTTTGGTGTGACTACACCGGGACGTCATGGGTGTATTGTCCGGTTTTTTCGTAGTTTGTACTCCACAGAAAGTTGTAGAAAGTAAAGTGGAAAAATGGATCTGGTTGTTTTGTAATTGTAATCTTGTATGTATTTCATTGACTCGTTATCTTGTATCTCGTTATTTCCAGGGTTCGCTGATTTGATTCTCCAATGAAATGAAACTCCATGCGTATGCTCAGTCCAAGTCGCAAATTCAAATCCAAATCCAAGTCCAAACGCACTGTTACCAGTTACAGTTCCTACAGTTCTGTACTGTAACACTACATGTAACTCCAAATCCTTTCATAATCCTTCGGACAGAATAGTCCTCAAATTTCCCATACTGAATCATCCCCCACCCGGTGGGTCTAGGGTCTCACCAAGTGGGCCCAAATCCAGCACGCTGCACATCCCTCAATTGACGTGCCAGCCTCAACACCGAATCAGCAACAGGTCGATGGTGCGTCGCCGCAACACGAAGCAGCGCTAGGGTCGCAGCGGGGCGTGGCGAGGGCATGGAGGTGGATTCATCTGCAGGGACCTGAGCCTGAGCTGACGACGACGATGCAGCTCCTGACGATCGCGCCCGGAAGAAATAAGACCCGATCGTGCCGAGATCGAGCGAGTCCAGCACGGAATGGAGACGGTCTCCGGTGTCGATGTTGCTGTGCTGGTTTGGTCTGGTAGGGTTTCTTCGTTCTTCGCGCGTTACAATCCCATCTACAGCTTCGAGGTGGTCGTCTAGGGTTGTGAAGCGCGTGTTGAGGGAGTCTGCTTTGCTGCGGATTTGGCTGCGCAGTCTGTCGAGGTATTCTTCGCGTCGGCGGGTTTGGATTGCTTGTCGTGTGTCGCTTGCTACTGAGTTACCGGTGACGGGTTCGGTTGGTCGTGTTGCTAGCAGGCTGTCTATTGCTGAGCGCAGATCTGCGCGCAGGGAATCAAATTCCCAGACTGCTGCTTGTACGGCTTGGTTGCTGCCTTGGAATTCGAGATCTAGGGCGTTTTTGGCGTCTGGGAATGTTGCTTTGAGCTGCGATTCTAGGTCGGAGAGCATGCTTTCGCTTTGTTTCAGGATTCCTGATAGCGGTGTTAGGGTTTCTAGGGTCGTGTCGAAGATCGACTCTAGTTGTCGCTGTGAGGTTGTGAAGCTTTCTTCGGGGGATATTGGTGGGGATTGGAAGGGAGTTCGCGGTGGGTATGTTGGTGTTAGGGTGATACAGCTGCTAGGATAGAGGACTTTGATGCTCGGTAGCTGGCAGAGGTCGTTGGCTTGGTAGACTAGCTCTGGGAGGACTAGCAGGTGGAGGATCAGGGCGATCAAGACTGCGTTGATAGCACCTCTGAGGAGAGTGCTGTCTATAAGCCTGATGACCTTGTTCTTTGCAAGAGTGTTGTCGGTGATTGCTGGAGTAGACGAGCCAGCGTCTTCTCCAGCTTTGCCGCTATCTCGGACTTGCCCTTGTTGACTTGGCACTGAAACTTTGCGCCGTTTTTTCGTGTTTGGCGTGCCAGGCTGGTTCGGAGATCGTCTGTATTCTACCCATGACTTTTCTGGGTTCGGCGTCTCGCATATGGAGGGCATGATAAGCTCCGGGCCGGATATCCATGACGATGAAGATGCCAGCGACTCGGATGACTGGTCGACCTTCGCTTTGGTATTCTTTCGAGGGCTTTGACTCGGTGTGACTAGGGGTTTCTCGTTCGTTTCTCTGTCCTTGATAGAGGATGCGATCACCCAAGATTCGCCCAAGGCTGGGTGATCTGGGATAGATTGTTCCGTAGACATGGCGTAAACATTTCAGCTAGACATGACGGATGTAAGGCGTAGCGAAGGGTTAGGCAAATCCAACTTTCGTGTTGCACCGACTTTCGAAGGTATTCAACTGGGCGTCTTAACTGTGACCGTTCTGCAAAGCGGTGGGGAACAACAAGATCGGCAGGAAATGCGGCCGAGAATCTTCAGCGCAACCAACAATGCGCCCACTGCCTCGTTTACGACCGTTGCTAGTCCATAGAGCTCTGCCATGGCATCTCCCTCGGTCGCGATTATTATCAACGACAGCACATCGCAATTGCTCGTGTTCTGACCCCAAACAACCCGAAGCTCCGATACCTCTCACCGACCACCGAGCTCTGGGAACCGCCCAAGAGCTCTTCACCTCCTCCGTCTACAGCCCCGGGTCACCTCTCTTCCTACCAAATGGTACACACGTCGTCAACAAACTCATCTCCTTTCTCCGTACTCAGTACCTGCAATACGGCTTCCGTGAAGTCCTGACACCAACCATCTACAAACGATCGCTCTGGGAGATATCAGGCCACTGGCAGAATTACAAAGATGACATGTATGAGGTTACTGGCCGTGGAGCCAGCGGCGAGGCAGAGGGCGAAGTCGGCGAGGACGAGTCATACGGATTGAAGCCGATGAACTGTCCCGGTCACTGCCTGCTCTTCAAATCGCAGAACCACTCTTATCGCGATATGCCGGTGCGCTATGCGGATTTCAGTCCGCTACACCGTAATGAAGTGTCAGGGTCTTTGACTGGTCTCACACGAGTGCGCCGCTTCCACCAAGATGACGGTCACATCTTCTGTCGGCCGCAGCAAATCAAGTCGGAGATTGCATCGGCGCTGGGATTCGTGGATATGGCCATGAAGACTTTCGGACTCGGTCCGTACCGGTTGGTGCTGTCTACTAGGCCAGAGACGGATTATATTGGGACCTTGGAGATGTGGGATAATGCCGAAACACAGTTGCGGGAGGCGCTGGATAGCACTGGGCGCGAATGGGCGCTGAATGAGGGTGACGGTGCTTTCTACGGTCCTAAGATCGATATTCAACTCCAGGATCAAGCTGGGAAGTTCCACCAACTCTCTACTATTCAATTGGACATGAACCTGCCCCAACGGTTTGAGCTTGAGTATCAAGTCGCAGAGGGTGAACCGGACTACAACCCGGCTACGCCAGGAGTCGCAACTCCGGTGATGATTCACCGCGCCATCTTTGGCTCATTGGAGCGGTTCTTGGCACTGTTGATCGAAGAGCACGGTGGACATTGGCCATTCTGGCTCTCTCCGCGCCAGGCTATCATCTTGACAGTCAACCAAGATGAAGCCGTGGTGCAGCAGGCCAAGGAAGCGGCAGCCAAGTTCTCTGGATTCCGCGCATTGTTGAACGACGGCAGTGCCGAGTCGCCGCGTCCGTTGTCGTCTGTTGATTCTACATTCCTGGTTGATGTTGATACCAGTGCGCAGACGCTAGGGAAGAAGATCCAACGCGCCAAGCAGATGAAGTATAACCTCATCTTCATCCTTGGATCGCGCGACCTTGCCGATGGTGGTATATCTGTTGATGTCACTGGACAGATGCAAAGCAAGACCGACAAGGATGCCCAGCAGCTGCAAGCCCTGATCAAAAGCAAACTGGGTGACAATGCCTTGCAAAACCCTCGAGCCGTTAAGCTCAAGGTGGATGAGGTTCATCCGCTATTGGTGGACCTCGAGAAGAACTTCGTATAACATGTCTTGTTGGCATTTGAGCGTCCTTGTACCATAAACCATATTCCCATTTCAAATTCGACTGTACAATTAACTGTATTCCACTGCATTTCAAGTTCTGATTGACGCACAACGCCGAGTTAGTCCATATCAATGCGGTTATTCTCGGAGTAGATGCCTCAGGCTGAAAACGCCTCCGAGTTCGGGGCGCTGTAGGAGAACGAGTAGAGCACAATCATGTCTGCAAGGGTTGCAAAGTGAATGTAAATGAATGTCTAAAGCCCTACAAGCACAACAACGGTCTCAGCAACCCATCTCCAGCTCATCTCCCGATCTTCACGCCCTTCGCTCGACTTGCATATCACGTGACTCCGCTGTCGGCGCCGAAAACTCGTCATGATCGACTTTGAGTCACAGCATATTCCCCATTCTTCATTGGCCTCTCTTTTCTTTTCTATAAAGACTCCCTGTCTATCCTGATCTTGGAAGATCCAAGATTATTCTTTTGAGCCCCGAGTCTGCCTGGCCGACTACACCTTCATATCTCTTATCAATTTCCCCCGCGGTACCCCGCCACGCCGCCATGCCGATGTATGTCATGCCTGAAGGCTGATGTTATGCAATGCTTACCACCTTTAGGCTCAAGGATCCCTCGAAAAAGTACAAGGCGTTCAAGCCTCTGAACCTGCCTAACCGTCAATGGCCTAACAAGATTATTGATAAGCCTCCCCGCTGGATGGCCACCGATCTGCGCGATGGCAACCAGTCTCTGCCCGACCCAATGGTATGATATGGAATTCCCTATAGAGACTGCCGTGCTGACTGGCTGTATAGGATGTCGACGCAAAATACCGTTTCTTTAAGATGCTCGTAGAAATCGGTTACAAGGAAATCGAAGTGTCTTTCCCCTCCGCATCCCAAATCGATTTCGACTTCACACGCCGTCTTGTTGAAGAGCCCGGTCTCACCCCCGATGATGTCTGCCTGCAGGTCCTGTCTCCCTGCCGTGAGGATCTCATCCGTCGCACAGTCGATTCCCTGAAGGGTGCCAAGAAGGCCATCCTGCACATCTACCTCGCCACCAGCCCTTGTTTCCGTCGCATTGTTTTCAACATGGATCGCCAAAAGAGTTTGGAAATGGCTGTCCGCTGCACCAAGTACGCCCGCTCTATCACCAAGGATGACCCCTCCCAGGCTGGTACCGAGTGGCAATTCGAGTTCTCCCCCGAGACCTTCTCCGATACCGAGCCCGAATTCGCTGTTGAGGTTTGTCAGGCTGTCAAGGAAGCCTGGGAGCCCACTGCCGAGAAGCCTATTATCTTTAACCTTCCCGCTACCGTCGAGATGGCTACCCCCAACGTCTTTGCCGATCAGGTCGAGTACTTCTGCACAAACATGACTGAACGTGAGAAGTTTGTCGTTTCAGTTCACCCCCACAACGACCGTGGCTGCGCTGTTGCCGCCGCTGAACTGGCACAGATGGCTGGTGCTGATCGTGTCGAGGGTACTCTGTTCGGTAACGGTGAGCGTACCGGCAACGTCGACCTGGTCACTCTGGCCCTGAACCTGTACACACAAGGTGTCTCACCCAAAGTCGACTTCTCAGATATTAACTCAATCATCAAGGTGGTAGAGGAGAGCAACAAGATTCCCGTGAACGAGCGTTGGCCTTATGGTGGTATCTTGACTCCTGTAGCCTTCTCCGGAAGTCACCAAGACGCTATCAAGAAGGGCTTCAAGCTCCGCGAAGAGGGCCAAGGCAAGGACGAGGAAACCGAATGGGTCATCCCATACCTGCCCCTGGACCCGCAAGATATCGGCCGCACCTACGAGGCCGTCATTCGCGTCAACTCCCAGAGCGGCAAGGGTGGCGCCGCCTGGATCATTCTGCGCAGTCTGGAGCTGGATCTCCCCCGCGCACTCCAGGTCGAGTTCAGCAAGATCGTGCAGGAAAAGACCGAGGCTGTCAACCGGGAACTGAAGCCCAGCGAGATCGTCAACCTGTTCGAGGAGGCTTACCACCTCAAGTCCAACCCTCGCTTCAACTTGGTCGACTACAGCATTACCACCGACCGCTCGCAGTCCCCTGCTCCTCCTGAGCCTGGCAAGGCCCTCAACACTAAGAACCTCAAGCGTCGCTTCACTGGTGTTATTGAGATCGATAACGTCCAGCATGCCATCACCGGTGTCGGCGCTGGTGCTATCTCCTCCCTGGCTACCGCTCTGTCTTCTCTGGGCATCGACCTGGACGTCCGCGACTATAAGGAGCACTCCATCGGTCTTGGCCGTGATGTCAAGGCTGTTACATACATCCACTGCACAGCAGCCGGTAGCAACGAGCAAGTATGGGGTGTTGGTATCCACCAGGATGTGGTCCAAGCCTCTCTGATTGCGCTCCTCAGCGCCGCCAGCTCGGTAAGCTTCATACATGTATTTGATTATTTTGATACTGGGTCACTAACATGAGTCTAGTTCCTTGCTTCCCAAGCTGGCTCTCCTGCTCCTTTCCGTCCCATCCGCTCCAACACCCTTACCAATGAAGACCTGCAGGCTCTTGAGCAGCTGACTGGTACCCCTGACGCAGCTGGTACCAACGGCGGTCTCGGTGCCAAGGTTGACATTGAGCAGCTGACGAGAAAGGCTGAAAGCCAGTAAATTGTAGAAAAGAACAAAAGTGATGTCGTTTTCGGGCTTTAAAGTAGCAATAATGCATATTCCGGACCGTGTCTGGTATTAAATCTCTCATTTCTTTGCTATTGATGTAGTTCCAACCAAAGTGCCAATGTGCGAGTTAAAGTCATATAGTCATATCCGCTAAAGACCACACGATCAACAAACAGAGCTACCACCCCCAAAATACATCATCCCACCCCCAACTCCTCTTCCCAGCATTAGTAGCCCCATATACATGATACTTCTGCGGCCCCTCGGCAGAAATAATATACCCCTTCTCACAAGACGAGAACGAAACCTTAGGCTGGTTCTCGTAGAACGTGTCAAAGCCAGAATCCAGTGCGTCTGCGAGGCTGTTTACCTTACCAGCTGGGTGCAGCTGGCGCCAGGGGTAGCGGCACGAGTCGCCTTCGCAGGATTTCAGAACTAGCATTAGGGCGTCGAGGCGGTTGAGAATTTGGGGGAGTTGTCGGTTGGCGATGCGGTAGTTTTGTTTTGCTGGGTGTGTTCCTAGATTTTTGGTTTGGTGGGGGTCACCCTGGTTTTGTTAGATTTATACTTGTTATGATGGAGATGGGTGTTGGATATGAAGGATGGATGGATGGGTACTCACCTTTAGGTCGAAGAATTCTTTCTCGTTGGAGCACCATACAGAGTAGTATAGACTATAGTCATCTGAGTGCAGTCTAATAGCTTTGTAGGTGTTGTTCTCGTAGCTGTTGTGAGGTTGCTGGACTCTGTCACTGGCATATCCATAGATGCCTTCTGGGACAGCCTGAATTTACTGTTAGCGGACTCTAAAGGCCTTCTTTAAGCACTTGACTTACCAATCCCCAGTACTCAATGGCAACATGCTCAGTCCTGTTATCCGCCGTGCTGGCCGCAACGGTAGTAGGAATCTTCTTCCCATCCAAACCCTCTCTCGTCGCCCCAGCCAAAGACAAGAATGTCGGCGCAAGGTCCGTATGACTAGTGATAGCATCCAGTGTCTGATTCTTGCCAATACCAGGTCCTCGCACAATCAGAGGGACATTGATATCCGTTTCTATACACCGAGTTAGTCCAATCAAAGACCAAAGAACACAAAGACTAACTCACCATAACCACAGTTCTTGCCCGGCTGCATCCGATGCTGGCCAAGATGATACCCATTATCCGTCGAGAAGAAAATATAAGTATTATCCAATTCACCCAACTTCTCCAACTTCTCCACCAAATTCCCAATCATATCATCAACAGCCTGTAACGCGCGCAGCCGGCACCGCTGGAACTCATCAATGTAATCGATAACCGTCTGGTTCAACTCAGGCACATTATTCACCCAGCTAACCGCATCTTCAATAAGAGTATTGAAGCTCTCATCCCGCGGGGCCTTGAGATCCTTGAATAGATCCGCATGCCTCGGCGCAAACTCCGGCTCACCGAACCAATTCGCATTCCGCGTGGAATCATGCGATCCATTCGAGTGCGGCGCGTTCGGCGCAACGGTCAACATCCACGGTCTATCCTGCTTGACTGCTTCGTCGATGAAGCCTTCCGCTTTGGAGGCGATCACGTCGGTCGAGTATTTGCCGTCGTATTTGACTGGTTCGTTGCCATTGCGTGTCATGCGTGCGTACCAGTAACGGTATGTGTACGGGTCTAGCAGGAAGTCTGAGCCGTTGAAGCCTCGCGCGTAGGGTTTGTTGTAGTTGTCTTCTGTGTGTGCGTTCCAAAGCTTGCCCACGTAGTATGTGTTGTAGCCGGCTTCTTGCATCCAGAGTGGGAGGTAATTGTCGTTCCAGCCGGCTGATACTACTTTTGGGTAGCCGCCGTAGGGGAGTCCCACGTCTGTGACGTTGGTGTTGTGTGGCATGCGGCCTGTCCAGAGGTTTGCGCGGGATGGGCAGCATAGGGCGATTGAGCAGAAGTGTTTGGAGTAGCTTGTTCCTTGTTCGACGAGGGTTGACTATATGTGTATTAGGATTTGCATACATAGATTTGAGTTAATATGGTAACTACCTGTAGCTTGGGCATGTGCTCCAGCCCACCGACATACTTGCCCTGGTCATCGGTCAGGACAAAAAGGATGTTGGGTTGCTTGGCGACAGCGATAGCCGCTAGTAGCAGAGTCCCCAGTAGTAATTGCATTGTGAGAAACTTCTTTTTGCACTGGAGCTTCTATGACCCAGACTTGGGGTAGCTATATAGGCCGATTTAGCCTGCGTCATCGTGGATCAAGGCACGGCGTTGAGCTCTTGTATCATTTCTCCACAGAATTGCACAGCGACAATCCCCTGCAGCCATCTGCAATCATATGAGAGAAAGTGAGTTGGGCCGATCATCGTACGTCGTGTATGTACAAGATCGGCAGTCGGCAAAGGATAGACGAAGGAAGATGGAGACTGTGGGCTTAATAGACGGGATACGCGGGAGGGGTCGGTCGATCAAGTCAATAGGAGGAGCTTAGGGCTTAGCTAAACCATGCAATACCTACAGTAGTCTGATTGCGAGCTTTGTGCGTGAATGATGCGACTGTAGATGAGGTAAGGGTGGGTCTCTATCACGTCTTCGGCACTATTTGCTTATCTAACTTTATGACTGGAATAGTTTATATATATGAAATGCCAAGCTCATCTCTATTTTATCGACCTTGGAACCGACAAGCTTAAAGTCACTTCGTTTATACAGGCCAGTCACATGACCTTGTCTATACTTCAGATCAGAGCTTCGATAAAAAAAAAGTAAGTCATCGTCTGGCTTCGACCGGAGATCAGGCGTCACTGCAGAATTAAACAAATGATAGGAATGGGGCAGACCTAGCGTCCAAGAGGAGAAGAATAAGTTGGTAATAATAACCGCTAGACCCAATGTCCGCCTCACCTTGGTATGGCATATAAAACTATTTCTATATAGGAACAGTTCAAAGTCAGATTAGATCGATTGTATCTTATCTCCAGTACTCTGACTTTACTCGACAATAGGGTGGCAGAGCAGATTTCAAGTGGGCCAAGTCTATCTATAAAAACAAGTCTAAACTCTCTCTAGCTTCTAGCTCCGATCAAGTCGGCCGCCTTCTCCGCAACCGCATACACAGCAGCCTGAATATTCCCACTCGGTTCAAGAGGGAAAATACTTGCGTCAACGACTCGCAAGTTCTTCGTGCCGTAGACCTTCAGCTCGGAATCAACCACACCTCCACTCTCCTTTGGTAACATGGCGCACGAACCCGCGGGATGGAAGCAAGTAAACAAGCGTTCCTTAACGATTTCCTTTGCGCAGTCCAGATTGCTCAGGTTCTTTGCTTGTTCAGGCATCCGTTTTCCTGGCTTGAGGAGAGTCGAGAAGGGTGCAGTCTCCACGACACGGTCCAGGAACTGCAGTTGTCTTGCCATAATCTCGAGGTCGAAAGGGTGCGAGAGGAAGTTGGGATCGTAGGTTGGCTTATCTTCACTCTTTCCAGAGGAGATATGGACTGATCCCCGAGAGAAGGGGTGGCTGTTCAAGACCAAGATGCAGATGTAGTTTCCTGGGAGTGTTTTAGCCAAGACATCGGAGAGAGTCGTCTTGTCGGCATTCATCTGGAGCTGGAGGGGCATGTAGAGGTAGTGTGAGGAAGCGTCATCATTCTGGAGAAGGATCTCGCGGAGGTGGTCATATTGCACTCGCAGATTGGCTGGGACATTTTCGTTGTCGAGGTGCGTGGAGAGGAGGTTGTCAATCTGCTCTTTGGGGACAGCACCCTTTCCATCCACGAACGGAAGATAGGCCATGCTGAGTGGCATGCCTGACAATGGGCCACCGTGAGTCTCTTCATAGAGCTTGATCAGTGCCTGGACGACATCTGGATTACGCATGATATCACCCGAGACCTGGTTATCCGCAACCTCGAAATTGATAGTAGAGAGAGCGTGATCTTGTAGATTCTCGCCTACGGCTGGGTTGTCAATAATGACTGGGATATTGTGGCTCTTGAGAAGGTCTGCATTTCCAATGCCAGAAAGTTCAAGCAACTGAGGAGTGTTCAAGCTGCCTCCGCAGAGAATCACTTCTTTGTTGGCGGCGATTTGGTATATATTGTCCTGAGACTTTACCTGCACGCCTCTTGCAATGACGTCTCCATCTTCTTGGGCAAGAAGAACATGCTCGACAGTTGTCTCTGTGAGCAGTCGCAGGTTTTTCCGCGCCGCAACCTCGGGGGTATAGTAAGCCGCCGCATATCCTCTTTTGCCCGTCTTCGCATCAAGGGTTAGCGGGCTGGTAAAAGCACCCAGTTTTTGGCCTTGGATGGGATCGGCATCTGTCTGCCAGCCTAACTGCGCAAATGTCTTGTCCCATGCCTTGTTGAATTCCCCGTACACATCCGGCAGAGACACAGGGACAGGCCCATCAGATCCTTGGTTCTCAGTCTTCATGTAGCGATTGATATCAAGGAGCTCTGCTGTGGCCTCGCTGGGTGGAGTGTATGTGTGGAATTTGCGAAGGTAGGGTGCCATATCCTCCGCACCCCAGCCGGCATTCCCCAGTGCCTTCCAGCTCTCAAAGTCCGATGCAGTGGGATACACGGCCACTGAAAAATTCATGGCAGAGGAGCCACCGACGACACGACCGCGGGGCTGGCCAATTTGACGGTTGTTTACGTGGACCTATCTATTATTAAGTTCTGTACATGGAAGAGATGCGACGGGAGCAATACCTGCGGAACACTCATATAATCCCAGTCAAAGTCCGGATTGCCATACATTGTACTCAAAAAGCCAGGAGTGTCAATACGGGGATCTCCCATACGATTGGCGCCTGCTTCAATAAGGAGGACATTGACAGAGGCGTCTTGGCTCAGTCGGTTGGCCAGGACAAGACCGCCAATGCCTGCGCCGACAATAATATAATCATAGTCATCCATGTTGAAGCTTAGAACGATGGATTGATAATTGTAAACACTCAGAAAAGCTCAGAAAAGCGAAAGGGGTGAACTTCTAGACTCCGGAATCAGTCCGGCTCATGAAAAAAATAGCCCTAACCTGCCACGAATAGCCCTTGGCAAGTCTAGTCTCCTGCCTAGAGTTGACTAGACCTGACTAGAGCTGGCGGAGACTGTCATCTTAATCAGGGTATTGTCTCGCATTTGGCAACAGCTAGTGTTTTAGCCCCCAATCTTTCCAATCACAACGTTAGCCTCAAATCCCGAAGCTCCATCGGGATTAAAAGTACGGCCCGTACCCCAACGGCCCCTGTAGGTCGACATAAAATTATTTGTGGCTTAACAATTGAGTCTGGTCTGTTTATTTTAAAGTATCTTGGTTCGGCCCATTTCGCCCATTATGTCCTGTCGAAACAGGGATGTCAGAACCTTGAATTATGCATCTATACAATGTCTTCACATACCCCATCGTCCGAGACGGTCTCATTGCCAATACGATCTTGGTCGCCGTCGCTACCATTTTGGTGATATTACGATTTGTGTCGCGCCATATTCGAAAAAGCAACATATGGTGGGATGATGCATTCTGCGTCGCTGCCATGCTGCATACATACGGAATGCTAGCAATGCAATATCACTATGCTCGACTTGGCATGCGAAACCATATTGGAAAGGTTCCGCCGGAGAATACAGTGATCATGTTGAAAATGCTCATCAGTTACCAACTTGTGTATTACAACGCCATGGTCCTTGCGAAATTCTCCTACCTCTTTCTCTATCTGCGCATCTTTGTGACCAAAGAATTCCGCATTCTCACGTGGGTATGCATGGGGTGTGCTGTTGCATACTGGACTGGAAGTGTGCTTCAGGTCTTTCTCCTTTGCACGCCATTTGAGAGAAACTGGAATCCGGCGTTACCAGGTCATTGTGCGAACCAGAATGTCGCGTTTACGACAATTGGAGTGTTCAACCTTCTTACGGATGTGATGATTATGGTCTTGCCCATCCGGTTCATCTGGAAATTGCAGATGTCCATCGCAACTAAGATGGCATTGTATAGCATATTTGGGCTGGGTATATTGTATGTTATCTCTCTATCCCGTATTCACAAGATACTAACTGAACAGTATTTCCTCCATCACAATCATCCGCATTAAAGTCCTGACAGCGGTCGATTTCACCGATCTTCCATACTCCATGATCTGGGCTGCCTTCTGGAGCGTCACTGAGCCTGCGCTTGCCATTGCAAATGGCTGCGCGCCGATGCTCCGGCCAATTCTTAAAGCCGCTTTTCCATCTCTGTTTGCTACTGCCAACGCTGAATATACCACCCAGCCGGCGAGCGGTCCTATTCTCAGCAAGAGTAATACGTCGAAACGGATCGATGAGATGGATAGCGAGTTTCCGCTCACGCGATTGGAGGAATCAAGATCAAGGGACGATGATTCATTGAATTATCATTCGCAGGATGATCGCTCGCATGTGCATCATACTCCGAGGAGTGTTGTTGGTCCTAAAGGGCAAGGGTTGTATACTACTTAGCTTCTCAATTTAATATGTTCAAGTTATAATGATCGCCCAATACACCTCTATATAATCCTTGGATAGGAGCAAACAATGTAAAGCCGATGTCCAAATACTATGTTTCCAATGCACCGTGCATCTATGCGAGATATCTGATCAATTTGGCCTGGCAAATCAGGCACTAACTATAATCTCACGTGGGCAAAGATCGACAATCAACTTCAATGTTGACTCGACTGCATGTTCGAAGGGCTTGCCCCTATCCTGCCTAAAATGGACAAAATAAAATCCTCAAAGATCCCAGAAGTCCTCACTCTATATGCCATCCATTGCCTACTACCCGCAACCCTACTGTTGACAACACCAAAGCGATCAACCCTCCGCTACCTCTCAATTCCATGCTCAATATGGATTGCCTACAGAGCCATAAACCTAGCAGCAGAACTAGGTCCTGGCTTTATATGGTGTGAATTCGCACGTCTGACGTTGTCTATCGTCCTCCAATCTTTCAATTGGTTACTCCTCAACCCGAAAGATATCAATGATCTACCCGTCGAAGCTGGCCACGGTGTCTCGCGTCTTTATTATGTTGCTCGGCTCTTTTATCAGCCGAGGGGGATTCGAACTCCCTGGCAGATTAAAAATGCGCCACAGCAACCGGGTTATTATCAACGCAGGGGTCTGAAGGAGCCCTCGCGAGGTCGCT